AAGACTTCTAGCACTTGTAGTTTCTGATATTTCGTGATGAGTAAGTGAGTCAGTCAGTGACCTTTCGCTTTTATAATATAGGTATTAGATAGATAATCACGACATGTAGCTAAACCGTGTTCCTCTGAAATACCAAAATTTACTCCATCCCAGCGTGGTTCCAGCCTGAGTTACGTAATTGTTAGGTATTTGATATTCCCTCCCGTTGCTCGATACTCGGGTCTCGCGATATTTCTCTACGAAATGTAGGTACATTCGGGTGCTCACTTCCGTTCTGTGTTAGCATACTTTATCATAGATAAATAACATCGTCGTGTGAAAATATTATTTAGTATTGGACACAGAAATTATTGTCGGAGGCCTATGTTCAGCAGTGGACATCCTATGGCTGAAATGATGATGACTTTGGTATTGCACCTTTATGGCTGAGTTCCATACGACGCCTATTATGAAATGCAGCCACGAATGCAGCTCAAAACGGAATTCAAACTTAAGCATTTTGTGATTGGTTGAGTCACAAATTCACAACATTTGACACAGACTTGTTTCAGAAATTCTTATTAGTCTCAGATCACGTCTAAACACAGATTAATACAGTGTAATTTTATAGTCTTGGACAGGAAGCATGTGAAATTGCACGTATAGCCTAAATATAAATTCCTAAGCGACTGGTGAAAATTTCTATACCAATCGGGAAACTAATGCTTTAAAAACGCCTGAGGATCTTTTAACAATATTTTGCGGTTTCCCAAAAGTCATTCAACCGGCAACTTATAGTGTAAGGAAACAATAGGTTATAATGTCACGATTACCTTTCACCGAGGTAAATAATGACTCAATCGACAATCTACAGACACAAGGTAAAACCTATTTTAGTTTGGTCTTTGATGTTTCATAACGGCATTTGCATCGAGAGAAACAAAGTATCAAGATGTCAGAAAGTGTAAAAACGAAGTTTATAAGCTAGAAGTTTTTTCTCTGTCATAATCTTAGTCATATCGCGATCTCCAAAGAATTTTCTTTTTTTTTTATTAGCTGCAGAAGCTACAGTGATAAATCTGATACGTTATGAAGAATATGCGTCAAAATGATTTTATCATTATTTATGGTTATGAATGCGGAGAAAGAAGATAGAAAACTGCGATATGGTATTATTTTCATAACTGTAAATGTAATTCTTACTCAAGAACAATCAATACAACATTCATTGTAGGACTTTATGAAATTGAAATTTTTTCTTAGCAAAATGGACACTGAATCAATAACAACATGACGTCGTCAACGTAAATGTAACGAATAATTTCTGAACAAATCCTTGAACTTGAGGAGCCGAAACTTTAAATAATAATCACCTTCAACCTAGCTTTTAAATCTATTTTAGACTAGCTTTCCGGCCGCGGCTTCGCCCGCGTGGAATTTTGTGTCACAGAAAACCTTAATCGCGCTCGTCCCTGTTTCAAAAACCGGGATAAAAACTATCCTACGTCCTTTCCCGGGACTCAAACTTACTCTATGCCAAATTTCATCAAAATCGGTTCAGTGGTTTAGGCGAAAGCACGACAGACAGACAGACAGAGTTACTTTCGCATTTATAATATTAGTATAGAAGTATAGATTCGATTCTATTAGATTCGATTCTATTAAACTAGGTTAGGCACGTCGAAACCTGATCTACCTAGTCCTTTCTCCTAGTCCTAGAGCTAGACAGTAGGTTATCCCAATCCTGTCTGGAATTTAATTAGATGAATAATGGAATGAAATCGTGCGGAAAATTCTATACACATACAAACATTTGCCATTTTCTTGGACGGAGATAGATGTTTTGCTTCAGTTAATCAAAAATTAGTTATTGTGTGCATTAGATAAGTGATCACTGTAATTTATTTATAAGTCAGGGTTGGATATACGGATGATAGCACATCAAGCTTAACTCTGAAGTATCTTTTGTTATTGTAATTAGTGCTATTTTGCAACAAAAATATACAGTGTGATGTGGTCTCCACCATTCTACACAGATTCATTAGAGATAAAAGTGTAACAGGATAAAACTTTGAGATACCTGAATAAGGCAGGCTAGATTCGAACAAACTTTTTTTATCTGAGAATAATTCCTGGTACCTAACCTTAACCTAATAACTGGCACATTGACAGTTTCAGCACTTTCAGTATGGGAAATATGTCAAAACTGACGATTTATTCTGAGATTAATATTTACTTTTGGTCGAATCCACCCAAGAAGATTTGAACTCACAAAGTCTCAGCATTTTCAATTAAGGTCTAAGTATAATTAATACCAAGCTTGTTGATAATTATCTTTCATATTTTAGTCTAAGAAAACAGGGAAGCGGAACAGGACATATTTTACCATAATTACGAAACCTAAGTTTATTTAATCTGCGGAAAATTATAACAGCCTCTAGAAAAAAGCGTTTGCTTGCTAATTAGTTATAATAACAGAACAAGGTGTCGGTAAACATGGGGCTCCTGTTAATCAGGGTTACCTCCACCATATCGAATACCAATAGGCTAGTTTCCTAAAAAAAATCTTTTAGTCCCGTCAATTACATTATCAAAAAATATTGGACACGTATATTTTTATTTGTCATTCAAGCAAGTAATAACGAAGTTATGATGCGTTGAAGTTCCGTGTGACGTCACAAAATGCTACACTTATAAGCACGCCTTGACGTCACGGGCATCTTCTTTTGAACTTTGGCTAGCTTTAACTCTTTCAAGTTTCATTAGTTTGAAAAAGTGAAAAATACGTGTCGAGTATTTTTTGATAAGTTAACCGACGGACTAATTCAAACTCATGCTTTTTTACCAGGAAACATCCCTATTGATCGAAAATCAAAATATCGAACACTATTTATACATCGAAAAGTCAAAACATCGAACGTTCAATGATCGAACGTTGCTGATGATTGGTATTCGATATGGCGGAGGTAACCCTGTTAATCAACCGCGAGATTTTTTATGGAATGTGAGCATGTCCGCACAATAGTTCTAGTTCAGTACTTTTCTCAGAAGTAATTATTATACGTCAATACAATAAAATATAATGGTTCACGGAATCCCAGGTGTAAGGATAGCACTTCTGTTACACAGTTCCTTGTTACTATCGTCCTTTAATTAAATAATAAGTAACGATCAGTCAGTTACACGAAGATTCGATAGTATTGAATACCTAAATAGGTATTTTTATAGGGCTAACGAAATTGATGATCAATTCTTTTTTTGTAAGATCGGAATAATTTGGAGAAGGGGAAGTTATGATCAAAGAATTATAACTTATGAAGATATTCATACTAAGGCCTATCAAAATTACTTGGACTGACTGCATCTCTACTAACACAGCATAGGTATCCAAATAATAAATGTTTTACTTAACCTACACATTGAGTAGTTAGATGAGAAGTGGGTGAATTAGGTACCAGTCATTCATTAGTAATCAATTAAATTAGTCATCATTATTTTAATTCTACGTCTGTAACTCTCGCACACAGTCTTTACTTCGACGATGTTTTCAGTCTCACTCACATTTTTAACCAACTTCATAAAAGGAGGTTTTCTCAATCTTAATGTCTGTTTTTATTTGTTCTTAGATAGGTACCGGGTTGGTTACGGATAACAGAATAAAATAAACTAAAATCGATTGATTTATACAAGTTGAGTCATTTTAACGACTGCATCGACTAGGTGTGTACGGTTATCAGCCGTTATCAGTGTGTTGATAAGGAGACAGGTCTGGGAAACATTCCGGTTAGTCACTTTACATCGTTTACTTGGAACAGGAAATAATAACTTAGAATTTACGGTGGAAAGGAGGATATTGAGTTAGGAAGCGTAATTAGATCTCATCTGTTATCTACTCGCGTGTTATAAAATCATTAACAGGTAATCTTAGTTAATGCTTCAAACAATAACATTAAATTCTTCAATGAATTTAGATAGGTAACGAGTTTTTGTATCCTACCTTACCCAATTAATTTAACGAGTGCAATGTCGTGAACTTACGTTTTGAGTGCAATGAACTTTTGTTACCTACTCCGACATGAGCGGATTTAAAGGCGTGACCCCTACCTACTGAGAGACAGACGCGTTTTGCCAATAACCACACGTGTTCACCTGAACGGTGTCGCGGCTTAGCCTCGTACCTATAACTTAACTACCATGAATTCATAAACGTCCCGAGAACAAAAGGCGATAGAACAAAAGCGCGGGACAAGCTGCGCGTGCACAGGTAGGAAAGCAGTTTTTACCTTTTGTGAATTCCGCCGACGCCATCGCCAACCCGGCAACCAGCAGCGCGGCGAGACCCCCGCGCACCATCTTTCTTGATTCAACTTTATTACAATTTCAAACACGTCACAGCAACTTGTCACACGGCACGCACTCACTGTCTTATAATCACACAAAACACGCACACTATCACAGAACTCGAACGCACATCCATTTGAAAAATGTTCGTTTCTTCGATAAGGTAACCGCTTCGCGCGACTCGTGGGCAGGTAAGACGAGTAAGCCTATTAAGTTACGATGACTTAAAACTAGTTATTCGTTACGTTAAAGCTAAACTAAACACTATGGGTTACGTCTGGCACGGTGGTTCTATACAGATTTTTGTTTGAAAACTTCACATATTTTCGTAAGGTTATTTCGAAGTTCGGAGCGGCGAGAGAGGTAACGCGAGACACGACCGCTCGGCGCATCGTTCGCGGCAGACTGGCGTGAAGTGAGCGAACAATCAACAAGTTGCGGTCGCGAGGCGGGCCTTCGGCGAGCATGCGCGGTTTGCGTCTATCTTCATACCTGACCCGAACAATGTTGATATGGCGCGCTGTCCCCCCACGTCTCGCCCGGCGAAACTTCCAAACCAGTTATGTTTTCGCGCAAAAACAAGAAAACAGGATTTCTCCACGATCCGCTCCTGTTCAGGTCTAGTCTATCCAGCCAGATTAAATATAAATCGTTGACACGTCTACATTGGCATTACAAACGCGAGGAACTTGTTCTAAGAAACTTTATTATGCTTAAGTTATTTAGAGCTTCCGCTGTCCACTTATGGATATTTAAAGTAGGTACTGACAATTAATTAAACTAGTTTAAATGCAGGAGTCATATCCTCATTCTACGACAATGTCAACACTCTACATAGCAATGTTTTTTTTGTAATGCAGCCAATTCTCCATAACAATCGTTGCTGTGCGAAGTCCGTGGATTATTTTGATCCTGTGAAAAAAAAAACAAAGGAGAAATTTTTAAAATTTTAGACTTAATTTTAACCTAATCTACTAAAATTTTGGATGATTTTAATGTCGTGGTATTTTTACAACAGAAGGAAGACAGTTCATAATTACAGTGGTTATTACACTTTACGCGACCTTGAAATCTTAAGTTCGTGGGTGTGTGCGTCGTGGAGTCCCATTTGAGGTAGATAGTCGAGTGAAAAAAATATGTTTTAGAATTTTAGATAAAATCGTCATCAATCTTTAAGGGTTGTAGGTAGGTATTATATTTTTTTTACAGATTTCTATGCACTTACTTCATCGATTCTCTCTCTAGTCTGGATGCCGATGCCACACGCCCCGTATAGGGTTTCGCACGGGGACCAGTCGCTAAATTCCCCTATATTGCACCCCCGTAGGTTCTGGCGGGACTCTAGTACTGAAGGTTCGTCTTGAGCTTCTCTGCAAAATTAAGGTGATTCTTATCGTCCATGGTTTTTTTATTAAGATGGCCGGTGGTTTGATGCGGTTAATTGATTAGCAAGCTGAAGTGGCAATGGCAGGGCACATAGTACGCAGAACTGACGGCCGATGGGGCAGCAAGGTTTTGGGAGGAGGCCGCGTACCTGAAAACGCAGCGTAGGACGTCCACCCACAAGGTGGACCGACGACATAGTAGTAGCTGGACGCTACCAACCGGGCAACATGGAAAGCTTTGGGGGAGGCCTATGTTCAGCAGTGGACGTCCTATAGCTGAGATGATGATGATGAATGAGCTTGAAAATAGTGACCTCCTCTGGTTCGATTCCTGTGCCTAGATTTTTATTATTATTTTTTTGTTTTTTTTTTATGTGAGAGGACACCTGATGGTAAGTGATTACCGTCGCCCATAGACACCCGCAGACCCAGGGGCGTTACAGGTGCGTAGTTAAGTACTTTATGACAGTTCACTTTCATACTTCAGCTTTTCCTAGCCCACCCAGATGAAAATGATCCGACCGAGAATCAAACCCGGGACTTGTGAGCAAGATAATAAATTTTTAGAAGTACTAACTGTTCGGATTCCTCTTCTTCACCTTCGTTTTCTTCTTCTCCTTCTCCCTCTGGAACAAAAATATTTTTTACCTTTATTTTTTTTTAATTACTAGGTAAGTCCGTCTACACGTCAAGGGATGAAAACAATACCTAATTTTAATTAAATTCTGTCAGTTATATTCAATCATTGACAGACAGAGATAAAGCACGCCAAAAATTTAAAATGTAGCACGGTATGACGTCACTTCAACGCGTCATATCTCCGAACTAGCCTAGTTGTATTTAGTTCTACATTTTTGGTGAAAACTTCTTTAAAAGATTCGAACCTTCACCTTCACCCTCTTCTGGGCATTCCACACCCAGCAGCGGGTAGACGTCCAGCCGCCTGACCTTCAAGATGGCGAAGGGCTTCAGATCGTTCAGGTTCATCTGGTAGAACGGGGACTCCTTGTTGAAGGAACCTACTTCCACTCGCTGTACTTTGCTCCTTGGATTGGTAGCGAATCTTGCGGACTGAAAAATAAGGCTTATTTTTACTATTGAACTTAACTACCTAGTAGTAGCTATGTACAGTGCCGTAACTAGCCTTTTATGCGCCCGGTGCGAGCTTTCAAAACTGCGCCCTTGTATAATGCTTGGTCTGGTCATTTCTGCGCCCCTCTAGGGTCTGCGCCCTGTGCAGGGCCGGATTAACCATCTCGGGGCCCCTAGGCACAGCTCGTTTCGGGCCCCCCTTTTTTTTGTCGCGGAAGAAATGCTTTGCGCACCGTCAACTCTGCCGGGGGACAGGGTGGTGTTTGGGACTCAAAAGGACGGGGTATACCCACTACAACCTCCGCGGCGTTCCGTCATCGCCCAAGTGGGGGTGTCGCGAGTGTCCGGCCGTAGCCTTAGGCCTCAGCCTCGAACTTAGCGGGCAGCGGGGCGGCGGCGGCGGCGGGGCGGGAGCGGCAGGATCTTATGCGTAAAATCAAATAGACCGGTTCTCGAAAACAGCGGCGCGGCAGCGGGGCGGCAGCGGGCAACGAGCGGGCAGCGGCGAGGGAGCGGGCAACGAGCGGGCAGCGCACTCCTTCTTTTGCCCACAATAAATCGAGCGTTAGGAATAAATTTGAATCGAAATAAAATTGTCGCCGTTGTTCAGACATTTCGTTTGCGAATAAAAACAAATATCTCGACAACACAACCCCGAACACAACACTTCGCCGCTAAAGCGCCGCGCGAGCTGCCCGCTTGTTTCGAGAACGGGTCTGCGTTGCCCGCCCCGCTCCAGAGCCGCCGCCGCTCCCGCCCCGCTGCCCGCTAAGTTCGAGGCTGAGGCCTTAGACTTCTGCGACACCACCGGCGACAGCTCGCCTACACGGCGGACCCTACACGCCCACCTCGTGGGGGGCCGACGGGAATGGCCCGAAACGCCAAGCCGTTCCCGTCAAGCGGAGGTGACAAGGGTGCCCCCGCACCCCCGGCCGTCTGGCCGCCACCTGGAGGGAGTCGTACAACCGCCTTCTCCACCCCCTTCTCCGCCTGCGGAGCGATGAGGCGAGAGATCGTACTTCCGCTCGCACTCCCCTGCCTCTTTCTGAAGGATGACCTCTTCGCAAAAGGAGGCAACCGCCATCCGGCATCCTTCACTTCCCAGCATGGCGTTGCCCAGGCTCGGAAGCGAAAGATTCCGGCCCACGACCGCAGTGAGGACACGGCGCTCCTCCCAGCTTGTGCAGACCGCGAGGGTGTGCTGCACCGTGTCATCCGCCGCGCCGCATTTGTGGCACAGCAGGGATTCCTCTCGCCCGATGCAGGTACGAACCGAAGCAGCCATGCCCGGTCAGCACCTGCGCCAGACGGAACGTGAGGAACCCGTGCGGTCGTTCCAACCTTTGGTCCAGAACAGGAACAATGGCGTCCAGATTGCGGCGGCCAAACTGCGCGCGAGTCATGTCTTCCTTCCAGCGGTCGATCATGATCTCACGCTCTTCCTGCCTGACGGCACCGCGCCGTTCCGGGGCCGGGCGCTTTCCACGCGCCTTCTGCTCTGCCATCCAGTGATAGATGACAGACAAGACTCCAGCTTCTAGCTCCCAATGTGGAGTACCAGTGAAGACGCACGCCGCAGCGTGCCCTACCGTTCGGTAGGTCCTTGCGACTTTCTGCGCTATGGGCCTATGGCCCGCTGGGGCCTGCGCAAAAGGGTGGCATTCTCCCTCTTGTTGAGTGCGTCCGCCCAGATTAAGGCGCCATACAGCGCCATTCAGAACGCCGGCATAAAGTCGACGACACCTCGTTTGTGGCCTTCCCAAATTCGGGAGGAGCCAACTCAGTGCGCCGGCTGCCTTGAGGAGGCGTGGCGCTAGCCCGTTGAAGTGCGGGCTAAAATGCCACCTCCCGTCAAGCGTGAGGCCCAGATATTTCATCTTTGACGTCAATCCTAACGTCTTCAACCACAATGTGGGCGTCGGGAGGGCCCAGAAAGAAGAGGGCCTCAGTCTTCTCCAGTGCGACTTTCAGGCCGAGGCGTCGTATTCTGCGAGCGACTAATGTGCCGCCCGCCGACGCCAGCCGTGCCGTGGCCCCAAATGTCTTCCCCGGGCAGTGACCAGAGTGTCATCCGCATAGCATATGAAATTCATGCCCGCGAGAAGGACGCCCCGGAGGAGACATTTGAAGCCTAGGTTCCACAAGAGTGGACCGAGCACCGAACCCTACGGAACCCCGCTGGCTACGCCCCACGCCGTTAGAGCTGGCTGTCTCAGTTACCATACAGGACTTCGTGATTCCGTAAGTAATCGGCCAGCAGAGCTCGAAGTTACGACACTGAGGCACTCTGTGATGTTGAAGTGCCTAGAGTATGGTGGAATGAGGGATGGTATTGAAAGCGTTGGCTATATCGAATGATACAGCCAACACACCCTCAGTCACCCCTCTCCCTAACCTCCGCAGTGAGGCTTTTTAGCCTCTGAATGAATTAGGTTCCACAATATCGAAATAATTATGACGATTGAATGTGTAAACCAAAATAAGACGAAGTTTTAAGGTGCTTTGAGTTTTGTTACATAAAAATAAACTTTAACTTTTTTTTTTTTTTCATTTTTTAATCGGGAGTGCTGGGCCCCTGTTCATAGTGGGCCCCTAGGCACTGGCCTAAAGTGCCTTATGGATAATACGGCACTGGCCCTGTGCCTGGGCACCGCTGGCACCGCCCTAGTTACGGCACTGGCTATGTAGGTATGAGTATGTACATAATATTGCTTTGTAACATGGTAAAATACTTTGAATTTTTAGTGCATAAAGTACCTACTGAAGCTAATTTCGGGTCAAAAATCTATAGTGTGGGTGGGTAGGCCTCCCCACTAGGTGAACCGATTTGGTGAAGGTCACGGGAAGTACCTGGATGCGGGCAGTGCAAGCAGGACCGGTCTTTGAGGAAATCCTTGGGGGAAACAATTTGTCCAGCACTGGACGTTAATTGACTGAAACGAACCTCATACGATACGCCTTCCATAGTACCAGCGTCCCATGGGTACATGGGAATCTCAGCACTCTCCAACCATCCACCAGTAGTGCACAGTTCAAAATGAGTGGTGCCCAGGAACCAGTCAGGAGACGGCCTCATCCCCACCACCATGGAGAACCGGTGGTGGATCCGATCCACTCTGAAGAGGGAGTGAGAAGGCTGGAACATGTCAGGGTGGTGTCTTCTCTTTCCTCGGATTAGCGTTCTGGTGCCTGACTTTTCTGACATCTGGAAAATAATTGACAGTATTAGGTACAGTAAGTTGATTGAGTTAAACCTCAATCAAAAAGGGTGCTCCACAATTTGGACCTAGGGTTTTGTTTCCCTTGTGGGAGAGATATGGATTTTAATCTGTTATAAAACTATTTAAAGCCTCAAAATTTTATTATATTGACGAGTTGGTTTGTAAAGATATTTTCTGATGAAAACGACATTCGATAAAAACTTGTACTCGACAATCTTCATATTACTTTTATCAGACGGCCATTTGTATGACATAAATACTTACCTTCTCAACGATCTCCCTCTCCAATTCAACAGTGTCAGCATCTTCCACCAGCCTCTTCAGACCCTCAGTGGCCTCCTGGCCCTGCTGCCACAGATCGTAGTCATTCGCATGGGACGCACCCACCATGTGTGTGTAGCCATTATCGTCAGGCTTGCTAGGGTAGTGCTGGGGGTGGGACACTCGCGACCACTTGCCATTGAAGATGACCTGGAAAAGTAAAACGATAAGCTTTTCCGTTTAGGGCGTAAGCAATACAATAGTGAAGGTAGCAGGAAGGAGCTGGACGCAGGCCGCTACCAACCGAGCAACGTGGATAGCATTGGGGGAGGTATAGGTTCAACAGTGGACGTCCTTCTGTCATCGTTGCACATGCTATATATTATCTAGCATTGTTTGAGAGGGATGGCAACTTTCGAAAATTCGGATAACATTTTTCGGATTTACCCCCTGGACTGATTAATGTCGTGTAAAAGTAGCCTATACGAGTTATGGCGTTCGGCTTTGCTTTTAGCAAAATGGTTTTCATTATCGGGCAGTTATAGGGTTGTTTTGGACTTTTCTACATAATAACTACAAGCTTTATCTAATTTAATCTTAAATGCGTCACTGTTGAGGCTCAATCCGTCTATCAAGCGTTTCTAATACTTAATTGCATAACTTATAATGAAATAACTAATTAATTAATTTCTTTTGTCATCTAAATCGTAATTTCTAGTACATGTAAATGTTTGCTATGGTTTCATCGCAGGCGTGTTTAACTTCATAGTGTTTTGTACTGTCAAATTCACTTACCTTTCAGTCGCCGCTATACGCTTTGTATTACGAAATATTTTCAAATCTGAGTTTTATTGACTCTGAATGTCAGCGAAGACAGTCACATAGTAAATAATTACATTACAACGTTTAATTTAAATCAATGATTTGGTTCAATTCTTTTACTCATTTCCGCGCGTACGTAACGACTACGATCACCCACACAAACCTCTTGTTTGTCAGCCAAACTTAATTATAGAGTTTTCTAGCGTTCCTAGAGCTAGCTAGATTTATTGACGCAAACACAGGACTCTCCACACCTAAAACTGAACGGTCCGGGCGTTTGTTTTGACAAGTTGACAACTGGCCCAGATTCGAGCCGAAAACATCCGCGGGAACGTAAGCGAGATGTGTTTTATTTCTAAAGTACAGTAAAACATTTCATGGACTTTAAAAAGTATTGAACGGTGCCGTGCTGCCTTCCGCGAATTTTACGGGAAGTTTGGGGTATTTTGTTTATTATAAACAAGCGCGCTTCAAAGGCAAGATACACATTGACTATCGCCTAAAACGGAATCCAATGGAATAGGCCAAGATATTATGATGAATATTCACTGAAGCCATCTCACTAAACTATATAAAACTATATCTGGAATAATTATTCCATTTTAAAATCTATACTTCTATACTAATATTATAAATGCGAAAGTAACTCTGTCTGTCTTGCTTTCACGCCTAAACCACTGAACCGATTTTGATGAAATTTGGCATAGAGATAGTTTGAGTCCCGGGAAAGGACATAGGATAGTTTTTATCCCGGTTTTTGAAACAAGGACGTGCGCGATAAAGTTTTTCTGTGACAGACAAAATTCCACGCGGGCGAAGCCGCGGGCGTAAAGCTAGTAACAAATAAATAAAATCAATTTACCTACACTCAAAAGTAAAAGTGTTATCTATGCACTAATCAAGCAGAGATTAAAAACCGTATAAGTATTATATTTTATTAGTTTAAATAAACGCTATAATAACCATTAAGTTCTTATTGAAACGACAAATAATCCACCATTGCAATATTCCAGTGAACTGAACAATCCTATTTCCGAAGCAGTCATAAAATCCGTCTGACTATCTGAAATTCCAGACGTTTCATGCTTTAAAATTCTATGGAATTAAGGCAAAGTTCATATGCGGTTGTTCAACCCTTAATATTTTAATTAGATTAAAATAACTTAATTAATTTATCGCTTCTACGAACAAAGGGTTTTCATCAGCAGCTTTAGCCTTTATAACCCAGTTGATAGAGGTATAAAAAATTCATGAAGCCTTATTTGTTTTAGTTCCAAAACTAATACAGCGCTCGCCGCCCGGCGTGGGGTGTTTATGCAACCTGGTTGGAGATTTGTGAATAGAAAATCTCTTTTTCTACAGTGAACAATGAGTTCAGCTGTCAAAGAAACAAAAGGTATTATGGAAGTACGTATAAAATCCAATCCATCACTAAACTACTAAAGTCCTATTTTTCTGCGTTTTCGTGAACGCCTCCTTGGGTAGAAATTTTGTTTTCTTAATCCAGGGATATCTTGCTTGGATTTCTTATAGTTTAGTTAGGCTTAGGATATTTCTGAAGTCTCTGAAAGAAAACTTGTTCGAAAAAAACTTTCATCTTCGAATCTTTGACATATTTTCGAATCGACAAAATTCGATACCCCGAAGGCTGGGTCGAAACGTGACGATCTCGATTGTCAAAATTAGTGCTACCATTGTATCGGCTACTTACCTCGTAGCGAGCCTCACTGCATAACCCACAGGATATCAATGGTGTAGTCGGCGGACTGTCGATGGGTGCGCGGTTGTCTTTCTGCAGCAGGATGATCAGGTCCGGGTCATCCATGTACCAGACCTCCTCGTTCTCAGCCACCATTGCCCGAAGCCGGACCTTCTGCTCATTGTCCGAACTTTTAGGGGATATCCAGTGGATCTGCAAATGATTGAGAACTAAAAAAACTGTGATTTATGACAGAGGGTTGTAAAATTTTTACCTTCCCCTAAAGTACCCGCGAATTGAGACAACAGAAATCAATTTTTTGTTACCGCGGTCTCATGCTCCGGTTTTGAATTTGTATGAAAATTATTTGCACAGACATACCTACATAAAAATAAGACCCATATAACCAATTTTGTATTATTAGAATTATTTAGATTAAGGTCTGCTTGAATAGGTATCTATGAAAACCTCAAATATTGTTATGTTTGGTTTAAACTCAATATTATTATTTGGTTGTGTTATGAAATACCTAACACAACACTCAATTCAAATTCATTGATTAAATCCTTTATTGATTGGCTGGCATGAATTCTTGAGTAAACACTATCCTCCTTTAGTTATTTCCTAACAATGTGTTATAATAACGCCCGTAACAAACATTACTTTACTATGAGGGCACATACACGAACCAATCGCAGAGCTCTATTCAACGCTGTGCGTTCGATTTGCTGCTTCGTTTGTGAATACGGGTGTAAGAGCAAACTCATACTCACATCAACCCTATACTTATCCGAGGTGTCCATATTCTCCACTGAGTTGAAGCAACGGTCGCTGTACCGGGATTTCCTTCCAGTCTCCGTGTCCAAGGTCTTCAGATGCCCTACATCAGGCGGCTTGGTGCTGACCATGTAGCTGTTATCGTCCACTGTCGGGTCTTCAGCTGTGATCATGAAGTAGCGGAATGGACGCTCGTTGACCGTGGTCATTAGGGTCACTGGAAGGTTCAATATGATGCATCATTGAATTCTGTGTCAAAGTTCAAAGGACATAAAACATTAACAAAAAATCTGTCGCGTCAAGAAGGCGCCCGATCAGTACCATCCATAAATTGAGAAATCGTGAGTGATTTTAAGTTGTATATTTGTACCTACAATAGATTTGTATTGTGCCATAAATGATAGAAATAGGTTATAGTTAGTTTGATTATCAACTTTCATAATATTAAATTTCTGAATACAGCCAGCCAACCATATAAGTAAATACCATTTACGGGCACATACATATAGGCATGACGTGTGAACTGGGCTATTAGTGTACTTAGTAAATTACAAAATATTACATTTTACCACGAAAGAATAAAAAAATAATATTTGCGTTAGCGTAATAGAGTGGGACCGTGTAAATAGCCATTGCACTTCACACGATAGCGCCTGTTAAGAAGTTTATAGCAAGGACGTGTGAATGTATTTGCTATTACGGCCACACAGGCACTCCTATAAAACAGATTGCAGCTTTGTAACTTTATTGTTAGTTTTGTTTTAAAAAAACTAGTTACTGAAAAATATTATTTATGATCATACCTACATACGTCTGATCCGGCAAGTAAGAGAGGTTCTCCATCTTGGTCTCAATGATCATTTTGAAGACGCCCTTGTTTTCACTTGGCTCCAGTATCTTCGCTTGCGGTGGAGTTTGGTCGCATTGCTTTGAGTCACACAATGCGATGAATGCTGATATTAATAGAAATGTATACAGTTTTGGATGCCTGAAAATAAAAATTAGAAATTGGACTGAGTGTATAATAAATGTTTGTTATTAAATTTACAGAAAATGTAGAGATATGACTCCAACATAGTTATGTGACGATAACACGCAGTCAATGTTAACACAACAAATTTTATTAACAATACACTTTCTTAGACCTGATTACAAATGTCTGTGTACAACTGATAAAAATAAAAACACACGTTAAAAATATCATTTTTCTGCTATTGTTTTAAATATCAATGTGTGTCTTGCGAGTTTAACACTAAATTACTGGTTTAATTAAATAACGAAACATGAAAAATTACCTATCAATACACACTTTACTTAGTGTAAATTAGACCCAAACAAACTAACCTCCAAATCGCTGTAAACACAAAACAAACGTTAGTAACGAGAACAACACACTCACATTTCGAAATCACGGATGTTTAGATCATGCTTTGCTTCCGATTCTCGATGCTCTCACTAATACACTCGATATCAAACAACTCCGTCTCTAGTACTCGATATACCGGTCTCTAGTTGCATAGGATCCGGTGCAAATTCAATTCCAGAAAATCGATTAGGTTAGGCGTCAACTGAACGCGGGAGGACTCAAAATAGCCGCCGTCATTTTGGAATGGGGCCAAACTTTGGACAGCCATAAGGAATATTTCTGTGCGTAGTTATAAGACGATCGTGATATTAGGTTTGGAGACGTTTCGTGATATATCTACGGAATGGAAGTCTTGATTTACGCTGGATAACAGCTGACGTCTGGCTTGATTAGATTTTTGAGTTTTATGTCCATTTTAGATGGGTCGACGGCCCGAGCCCCTTTGATTTATTTTATTTCAGCATCGAAAAACTACTTATTGCATTTCTAATACGTAGACGCTTCAACCTTCGCGAAGTTAGGATGGGCTGCTAGATAGTAAATGTAAGTACAGACGACAGCACATCAAGCTATAGGTATAATAAATTTACCTACTTGGATATGCTATCAACTGTACGAATTTTAGGTTTTGACAGCTACTTATCTAAACACTAATTCATATCCAAACCGTAGGTACGATTACGTTGTAATTAGCTGCAATGCTGATTCGGTACGAAATCAGTTGATTAAATAATTTATTATTCATCCATCTACCATTGGGATAATTACAGATTACTTATTCTGGAATTAAATGTTTAATAATGATCCGTAATATCATTTCCGACTTAACGAAATTATTCTGCATCAACTAAAAATGAATAATTCGTAGCCATTTGCCTGGGCTGCGAAAATAAATAAACATTAACGGTTCGTTTGTTACATGAAAATTTTATTCATTGTGGCGTGCTAAAAAAGGGAACAAATTGAAATATTGAATGGCGTTCTATATCTGTTTCGCCTGATGAATATACATCAACTGTTTGTTATGCAAGTAGGTAACTGATTGCGGATAGTTTTAACGTAGGTGTTCAATTTTAAGTATCGGAATTCGTTTGTATTGTTAAAATTCGTATTGAAAATGGCACAAGTGTTGCGTTTATGTATATCAATTACACTATAACGTAGGCATTTTTTATTTCTGACATTTATTTACACAAGAAAATAACACAAAACGGATTTTCGTATTCAGCTAGCAGTTTGGGTTTTGAAAAAGGCTTTGAGGTTAATAAATAAGCATTAACATCTAAATGGCACTTTCCTTTGATTATGTAAATACAAAGTAATGCTACAAAAACTTTAGAAAACACCAAAAGGATTATAAAAACAGGGCATTCACAGTCGCAATGAAGCTTTAATGAAATCTAGATGCGCCGCAGTTGTATAATTTTCGAGAATATTCAAGACTATTCTTTATCTAGAATTCAGAATGTAATGCTTTTGGTGCAGAACTCTCACATTACTTACTTCGAATACAAAACTGGGGGAAGATTAAAAATGTTTCTTGGAATCTGAAATGTCTTACATTTTTCTTGCATGTAAATTAACACATCGTGATATTTTTTCATGTTTGCACACAACTTTATTTACTTTAATACTACGTAATTTGCTGCCAAATGTTAATTTATTTACTAATGAAAAGAGTCAAGATTTTTTGGGCATCCACAATGATCTTACCCATAATATTTTTGTGATTCAAGATAATTCGATTGAAAATGAGTTTTCGCTACTCTAACTCATTGTACCATGAGTCCATGACTCTACAGTAACTGCTAGGTAATTTGTGCCTTTACTTCATGGCTTTTTTACGCAAGCACGACTCTGGGCAATAACTAGTGTTAACAACTTTAATTAAAAAAATCATAACAAACAAAAGTACACAGGAAGGGAATAATGAAAAAATAAAATTTCATCACGGGCAAACGTAATGCATTGTGAGCCAACGGTATTGTACTTTAAAAATATACAATTACCTACCTAGTTTCAGAAAAAAAAATCTAGGTGTATAGTGTGGGATGTAATGACCAAAAACACACAAGACAAATATAACATGATAACATACCTAGATAATTTGAAAAAGTAATTAAGTTTAATTATTGACTTTACCGTAAGTATCACTTACCTAGTACTTTTAATTAGGTACCTAACATTTTTCCTGATTTTTCCCTTATTCCTTCAAGTCTGTCATCTCTCAGAGTTGACTTAAACTGATCGCTAATTATGAAGACTGCTGTTACACTGTTTGTTTAACCGAGTTCATGTAATTATGATTTTTACAGGAACTAAAATACACAAATATCTACTAAAAATTACGTAGCTATCTCTTTGTGTGTTCTTATGCGGTTTTACTGAACAAAATGCTTGTGTACAATGAAAAGTAAGAAGTTATGGATATTTTATACAAGTTACAATGACCATCTGAAAATTCCCACCTAGCTCCAAGTTGTAAATAGGAATCAGTTCAGATGCAATTCTTTGGGGGAGCTCGTGGCGTGTTGCATATGTATAGCCATAGTCCAACTAAAACAGCTTCTATTGCTCTATTGTGACTTGTGTCAAGTTTTTCGTTGTTTAATAGGCGGCTTAAATGATAGGTAAGTTCTTTTCTTGTCCCGGGGTATATTATGTCGGCACTAAGCGGTATAAGATGTAGAATCATAGTTGGTGTGGTGTCTAAAAAGACATATCTAAAGGTTATTGTAACTTAGTTTAACAGCTATAAATATAACTGAGTTTAGGAGAACACGCATAGGTTGGAATATTAAGTTAAATTATGACTTAATTTAAAGTTTAGATCACATACATTACACCAGTTTTTATTTAACCTCAATCCATCAAGTATTACAGAAGATAGAGCCTCGAGAAGTTTACGGACTTTTTAAATTCCAATATTCGCGAATGACGTCACTACATGAATTTTCAGCCCCCGCACGTTAACCCATTTACCACCTACTTTTTGTCTTTTCCAACTAAAATAAAATTTTACTTAACTGACAACAGTTGTCATCGTTCAAAGGTACAAGACGTCGACATGTGAAATGAAGCCGCCATGTAGAGTCCTTATTAGTAAGTGACACCTAAGTAGGTATAATAATCCAGTTGACGTAACGAATCTAAAAAAAATACATAGGTACTTCTTAAAAAGAAAAAGGTTAGATAATACACTCGCGAGCAAAAATATGGAATCACCCTATTTATTCCGAGCGATTATAAGAACTAAATGACTAATAGACGATCAATAAAAATGGTACCATTTTAAAGGTGATATTATAAACTTTAAATTGATACCATAGATACATACAATACATTAGTCATTCAGTTCTTAAGACCGCTCGGAACACAGAGGGGTGATTCCATACTTTTGCTCGTAAGTATAGGTTTAGTCGATATTTGGAGGAAGGTAATAGTTCAATCAAGGTCCAAATCTTTAATTCTTTAATTAACCCTGAACTTTTTTGAAATGTGCTGTCTTTTCATCCCGTACTGTGTTGCATAACGAATACGCGTGCGCCATAATGATATGTTATGACAGTGGCTTTCAAGAAATTCAGAGTTCCTGCACTCTGCCTTAGCAGTTAAGTCTAGACGCCACGCTAGGGCTTTTCTGTAATGCAATGTGCACTAAGCTTAAAATACTTTGGTTAGGGACCTATTTACATTTATAAGGATGATATTCTTTGTGAAATACAGTACTTCTACTGGACTTTGAGATTTTGTGAATGCTATTATGGCAATTTTGATAATTATGCATTTGTTTCATATACCTATAGCAAAGGATCAAAGATCGAAGTAATTAAATCAAAAAATGAGACAGATAAATCTGAGATAATTGATTTAGAAAGCCATGGCAAAATTGGCAAATCTCTCGGCCTTCTTCATTAAGCACCATCTTTTGCCCGCGTGAAATAGTTAATAGTTTGTCACAGATCGTTATAAATTATTATTAAGTCATATTATATCTTAAGTTTAGTCAAAATAACGTACGCTCAGTAGTTTTTGAGGGAAAGAGTTCAAAGAGTAACACACATCCACATTTTATTCTTAAAACTTAAATTCAAGTGGTCTAGCTAAAAGTATAGTAAACCACCTTTCAAAAATTATTACTTTATAACCTATCTATTAATTGAGATGTATGTGGCGTGCTGTCTCGTAATTTTGCTATCAAGTTTCGGAAAAAAGCAAATGATATCGCGAGCTAAAACAGCACAACGCCATCTAGTGAAAATATTTGTAAGCGTTAACTTCTGTTCACGACACTGTTTCTGCTAGGGGCGCCACTTGATACTTACCGCTTAACTTTGATAGGTACCTTTTTACCGTGGCTTTGGTGAAGTTGACTAAATATGATGATGATGAGTAAATCCACTTTATAACTGGGTGGTTAGCTATCACGGTATTATGTGTCCTCTAATCCGGGGACACGGTAGTGCCCCCGCCAAGTCGAGCTTCTTTTTTACTCAAAAGTATGAGTCCAGCCTAATAGATTCCAACCAAACCCCAACCCTAATTTTCGTTTAAAAGATGTTCACAATAAATTTTGTTTCCCACAGCCCGTTTGCAGTATATTTTAGTGATGGCAACATTCATTTGATGTTCGGTATTATATGCGGGCAACTAATATATCGCGGAAACTGCCTCATAAGGGACGCACTCTTTTTTATATAGCTATGAAATATTTTATGCGGTAAAAACGCCAGTTCTCGTATGTTTTGTTGGCTTTATCATACTTATTATGTTAAACGGTTCCCGCCGTTGGAAACGGCCAGTAAGAGAGTATAGAACCTATAGAGAAAGTTAAAAACTTGGATTTTGTCTTGTAAGTGAAAAAAAGTAATATCCACAACTCAAATAAAGAAGAGTTTTCCATGTACTAATTGACATATCAGCTGTACAAGTTGTGGGGGAGGGAATGAATTATTTTTTGAGATTGCAACTTGGCCCTATACAAAAAAATATTGTATTTGAGCGCCAGAATCA